GTTTATAACATTTAAAAATTAAATAATAAACAATTACAGTAAGTGTGCATTAGATTTTCATATTTTAGTACCTAACGATTGGAATCTAGAAATATCGCAAACCTATGAAAATAAACAAAATTGCTGACGAGGGGAATCGAACCTACGACCTACGGACTAACAGACTAACGCTCTAACCACTATGCTAACGACACATGTGTACAGTAAATTATTAATATCTCAGTATCATTCAGACATACAATTATTGAGTCAAAGATGAGAAAAAAATAGAGATACGTTAGAAATAATAAATTGAAATAAAATAAATGAAACTAAATTTTTAAAAATTAAATTACTTTACTTATTGCATTTAACATTTTACGTAATTTATTCTTAAATTACGTGGTAATTTTTTAATAATTTTTTATTCATAGTAAGAAGTATAATAGTATTTTAATAGGAACTAAATTATTATTGAGATTAAAGTTTAAATTTTGTTTATAATTTTAATTTGTTTAAATAATTTATTATTTACAAAATTAGACAATTGTATTAAATTGTTATTATTAAATTTAATAAGAATAAAAAATGAACAACTGAAAAGTAAAATATTAATTTTTTTCAATAAATTTATATTTATAAACATTTATAAACTTTTTTTATAATTTTTTTCAAGTTTATGTCAAAAAAGCAATGTTGGCAAAGAGCGTTGTGAACAATTTTTCTATACTCAGCCAGCACTTGCCGCCGTGGCTTGTCCAAGCTTTGGCGAAACAAAAAATTCTGTGCTGCGCCAGCACTAATTGTCGAGGCTCGGCTAGACTACGCCGAACAATCGTCTGAGTACTAAGCCAGTGGTAAACATCGGCACTACACTGGCATTTCCCATTGGGCATAGGGGAAACTCAACGAGTGGATTTTGTTGAAATTTGTTACTCGAGGGTTTTTGGGGTCACTTATAACAAATCTGAAGTTAAATTTTTAAAATTCAAAATGGCGGATACAAAATGTCGGACATTTTTTTTTTAAATTGCTCTATTTGTATAAAACTTGTTACTCGGGGGTTTTCGGGGTCGCTGATTACAAATCTGAAGTCGGATTTTCAAAATTCAAAATGGCGACCCCAAAAATCCCTTAGTAGAAAGTTATAAACGGATTTTAGCAAATTTTGAAAAATTAAATTTCGCTATTTTTTTATCAATATTATACCTATTGTTTATAATAATTATAATCGTACTATGAAATTTCCTATTTTTTTATAAAAAGTAGTTACTTTGGTGATTGGAACAAGCTATATTAATTGTTAATTAGTTTAAATTTATAATTATTTTATTTTTTTATTTTATTTTATATTTTTATTTTTATATTTCATAATTTATATCAAATTTTGTAAGTGGTACCAAAGGCACGAAAAGTTCAAAACTTTTTGACGAATATATTTCCAAAAAGGTTAATGAGTGGAAAATTCTAATTTTTAAATTTACAGTAAGAATACTTGCTTCCTTACAAGTTTGTTCGAAATTAAAAATTAAAAAAAAATTTATAAAATAGTTTATTTAAGAAGAATATACCAGGTAATTTTGACTTCCATTAAAATATCAAAAATAAAAGACAAATTTAATAGGTAATTTTTAAAATAATTAAAGGAGAAAAATTAAAAATATATAAAAAACAAAATTAAAAAATTGACATTCTTTTGTTAATTGAAAAAATAGTTAAAATTGATACCTTTACTGTAACGTCATTTGCCCTCCATGTGTATATAAATATTTGGAACGTCATACACATACAGTATTGTATCATAACATAAAATTGCATCGTATTAGGAGAAATCTGTAAGCAAAGAAATACAGAAAATTGGACCTTTGGTTACAATTTGCATTTGCGTTGCAGTAAAAACTGAAACCATTCGATTTATTTTATCTTGAAAAACAAATATTTATACTTACCACTGTCATTTCGAAACATGTTACACAAATAATAATGCTACTTGCACATATCTGTATGACCATTCCAAATTGAAAAAAATGCCTTACATCATTAACGTAACTATATGCAAAGTACATATTTAATGAATTCAATTTAATAAACTAAATTTTTATAAATTTAAATTTAAGAAAAAATAAATTTATAAAAATTAAAAATTATAATTTGGAAAAATTAATGTCTAATATACACTGTAAAAAAAGGGAGTTAAATTTTAACTCCCCAGGGGATTCTATAAAAGTCGCACCCATTGGAGAGTTAATGCCAGGGGAGTTAAATAAAGAGAGTTAAAATTTAACACCCAAATGCTAACTCCCCATGGAAAAAATAACTCGCGCGGGTGTTGAATGAAGGGAGTTAGAAATTAACTCTCTTTTGGAGTTGATTTTTAACTCGAAAAATTTCACTCCCAACTCCCGAGTCCGTTAACTCCCTAAATTTTTTACAGTGTAAGTTTTAATAATAATACCTATAAATATAAATTATACAATTTTTTTTATTATAAATATTTTTAATTTTTACAATTTTGTTTTTCAATTTGAATTTTTTAATTCAGAGTAAAATTTTTTCTTTAAAAATGAAATATTGATTAAAAAAAATTTTAATTTAATTTATTTAAAATTAAATGTTAATAAAATCAATTGCAATTTTAAATTTAATTGAAATTTTTTTTTTATAATTTAAAAATATTTTATTATAAATATTTCTTTAAGAGTATTTGAACAATTATGTCGTCACAGTTTATGCAAAGCGTGTGTTTTCAAACTGTGACGTCATAATGGTTTAAATGCCCTTAAAAATGAAAGGAATGTTTAACAAAATTAAAATTTTTGTTTTGTAATTTTAAATTGTTTAATTAAAACTAAAACTTTTAGTTCATAAAATTAATTACTACAAATACAAAATTTTTAATTTAATACTAATTTCTATTAATTTTATTGTAATTTTTAAGTTTTTATCACTTATTTAAAAATTTTAATACATAAATAAAAAGTTCTATTTAAAATGAATTAAAATATAGGTATAGGGTCATTTGGGGTAAATGTAAACAAGGGATAAATGTAAACAGTAGATGTTTCAGCTAAATTTACAAATTAAAAAATAAGTACGACGTCAATATTTTTACCTCAGCTCACCTACAAGATGTTCTGAGTATTGCCAATATTTTGTTTTAAAAATTGGCAATGCCATAGTGTAAGTTATCTTTTAATGCAAAAAAGATTGAAAATCAAAGTTTTACTATTTCAGTATTTTATCTCGCATTTGCATAAAAATAAATTGAAAAATCAAACTAAAATTTGTAATTCTTCCTTATTAATGCCTTAACAAAAATTGACTTTGATTTTCGTCAATTTAGTTAATAAATAATTAAGTGTTTACATTTACCCCGAGAATTCGAAAACTCGGGGTAAATGTAAACAGAACGTGAACTACATTTTAAAAGAAAATAATTAAATAAATTTGCTTCAATTTCAAAATTTCATTACTTTGGCAATGTAAAATTACATGGAAAAGAAAGTTAGGTCTTCTTTTATACCTCCTTCGTGTTAGTCAGTTAGTCATAGTTTATGTTTGATCGCCATATTGGATCCACCATTTTGAAATTTAAAAATTCGATTTTATATTCTTTTTACCAAGTTGAATGAAAATCTATTAAAATTTGTTCAAGTTATTCAAGTTTTTATATTACTAGTTTTGTAATGGTTGATTGTTTATTTTATATGATACATTATCAGTCAACTGGTTGATTTACTATACATCTACGAAGAATTTTTTTCAGTTTTTCCATCCCTTTAAACAGTAGTATACTTGAAATAACTTGTTTCTTAAACCTCGCTTAACTACAGGGATTTATCCCAAATTTTAAGAAAATTTCAAAATCTCGGGGTGAATGTAAACAGTCAGTTTTAGGCGATTCAGGTGCATCAATATTTGTTTGTACCTCATCAAATTTTTCTAGGGAACTCTAGTAACAAGTTCATGCAAAAGAAATCCGTCCGTTTTACCTTTTAACAAAACAAACTAATGTTTTTAGTGAAAAATAGATATTCCGTTTACATTTACCCCAAATGACCCTATTAAAATTTATTTCTTAAAATTAAAATTTTTAAAAATCATTTTTTAAAACCATAATCTTTAACTTAACTTTTACTTAAAAAAACTTTAAAAACATCGATTGAGGTAAAACATTTCGAAAAAAACATATTTTCCTTAACTAATTTTTATAAATTTTTCCCTATGAAAATATTTTTACACAAATCTAAAATTTTTAATATAAAAATCGAAAAATTTAAACGTTATTTATAGATTTAAGTTTTTAATATTAAATTTTTATTTAAATTAAATCTGAAATTGTAACTTTTTAAATAAAATTAGCATTTTCAGTTTAAAACGTAATTTTAATTAAAATAAATAAGCAAAGATCTGACTATATTAAAAAAGTAAATTAAGATTTGTAGAAAAATATAATTTTTAAGTGTAAATTTCTAAAGTAACATATGAATTTTAAATGTTACTTTTTTCATGAAAAAAATAATCTGCTTTATCACTGCGGAAACTTAACTCACATTAACTTTTTTATTTTCTCGCGGCAAAAAATATTTCTTCTCTCAACAAAAAATTAAAATTTTCAGGGTGTCCGCAAGATTGACTTTATCAATTTCCCTGACATTTCCCTGACACTTTTACTGACATAACAACGAATTTCACTGACAAAAATTTTTTTGTTTAGAGCAAAAAATGTATTGCATGACCGTCTTAATTTCTTTAATTGCCCTGACAAAAAAATTTTTCCTGACATTTCTCTGACTTTACTGACAAAATATTTTTTTTCCTGACATTTCCCTGACTTTACTGACATGTGGCTACCCTGATTTTCTGTTAATTTTAACTTCCAAGAGATTTGTAATCATTAGAGGGAAATAAATTGTGCAGAAAGTATTTAAAAATTGACCAATAGTTGAATATTTCGAGATTTCTAAAATGATAGTTTTTTTTGTTTATTTCGTGCCGCATAAAAGTCAGTTTCCACTTACTCGAGAATTGCCTCGTAATGGAGGGTGCATTTGGCAATACGTTCGTTTAAAGTTTTCTCCAAGTAATATTGCTCGCAACTAAAAGTAGTATCCTCCAGTGAATTTGTGGTTTGCAAATAACTGTGACGTTCTCGTATCGTTTCACCAGGAGAAACTAAGTAAAATGTCAGATTGGAAATCCCACTCTCATGGTTTGAAGGTAATTTCTTATCAGGCGTTACGATTCCATTGGGAAATTCACAAGTTGATTCTGATAAATTATCCTTGACATCAACGATGTTGTCCGTTAAATGTTTAAAATCACGCTTCAAAATTTCCAATTGCGCCACTGACATGACAAAAAAATTTGTCGTCATCATATCAATCATTGAATCCATTGATGCTGTTGTCAATAATAATAAAGTTTGCGATGCGTAAATAAATCCATAAGTTGGATTTTCCGTAATATTAAACGGATACCATGCTGCAAACAGTAACACTTTATTCTGTAAAATTTAATTTTTTTAACATTTTTTTATTTTTTGTTTAAAACTACTGTGTCACTTTTTTATTTTTTCTCATTCCTTACCTTTTTTGTATTTTTTAAACTTCTTTACCACTTTCACTTTACATTAACTTCACTTTCACTTCACTTTTGATTTACTCTCATTTAACATTCACTTTACCTACACTGTCACTTTATTTTTGTTAAATTTAACTTTATTTACATTCAAAATTTTCTTAAAATTTTGAAGACAAGTTAAATTAAAAAAAAATGAATAAGTGACAATGAAAGTAAAGTAAAAGTGAACTGAGAGTGAAGTGAATGTGGAGTGAAAGTGAAGTGAAAGTGAAAATGAACTGAGAGTAAATTAAAGTGAAGTGAATGTGGGGTGAAAGTGAAGTGAAAATGAACTGAGAGTAAATTAAAGTAAAGTGAAAGTGATGTGAAAGTGAACTGAGAGTGAAGTAAAAATGAATTAAAAGTGGAGTAAAAAGTAAAAGTAAAGGTAAAGTGAAGTGAAAGTAAACTGAGAGTTAAGTAAAAATGAAGTAAAAATGAAGTAAAATTGAAGCGAAAGTGAAAGTGATATTTAACTTTAAAGTTTAATTTCGAAAAGTGAGTGCCAGTTTCAGCTTCATGTTGTCAATTCATTTAAATTTTTGTTAAGGTAAAAATAATTTTTCAAAATTAAAAAACTAAAAAAGTAATTAAACTTTAGAAAGCAGTAAAGTTAAAAAACAATAAAACTAAAAAAAAATTAAAATAACGAAATCAAGAAATAAATGAAATAAGGAAAGAAAGAAAAGAATTAAAGAAAATAAGGAAATAAAGAAACAATGAAAAAAAACAAAGAATTAATGAAAATTAAAAAATATTTGTTCAAAAACAATTAATAAAAGAAAAGTGTTACCTGACTACTGTCAACTAGAGGGAAAAGTATCCAACTCGCAACAGTTATCATTGATAAAACCATAAATGTCATGGAACTTGCTTTAGCAATTTTCGTATATTCTTTCAACACTTCAAAATGTTCTTTTCGTGTTGGCGCAAATATTGGATCATGCAATCTTTTAAAAAATCCCTCCACTTTATCGCGACGAATTATAAATACAACAAGTTTTGCAACATAACCAACGCATGTCAGTGTGAAAAACGAACTCTCCACCATTTTTTGTACATCATTACGAGTAAGATAAATATTAATAAATTGCGTTGGTAACAATACAACAATGTAAAACAATTGAAAGCTATAGCCGTACACATTGTAAATTAATCTGCAATAATTATTAGAAAAATTTTGTTTTCTTCCCGGGATGAAAAAAAAGATTTCTGAAATTTTTGAAAATAAATTTTTTCTCTCGAAAATGAAAATTTCTGAATAATTTGTTTAAAAAATGAAAATTTCAGAATTTTCGCAGAAAAAAGGAAGTAGATTTGAATTTAAAATGACACATAACACTTTTTATTTAGGAACTACTCTCTAAATTTGAAGTAGTGAAAGTGTTTAAAAATTTGAATTAGTCACTTATTTTTTGCTTTCGTCTTTAATTTGATTAAAATTTTTTTAATTTTATTTTTTTAATTATAATTATTTTTATTTTTTTAATTTTTTTAATTTTAATTTGACTAATAAATAGGAATTTCTACTAATTAATAGTAAAATTTTCTAATTTGAAAGCAAAAAATCAGTCCCTAATTCAAATTAGTAAACTTTTTTAATTTTTTACTAATTCAATTATAAGCGCGCGTGTATATTCTGCGACGATTATTGAAAAATACAATTGATCATTAATTAAAATTATATAATTTATGTTCTTATTTATTATTATCATTATTAAATTAATAAAGTAAATAAGAACAAAATTAGTTAATTCTACCAAAATATTAATTATTATTTATCATAGTATTTTTAATCTTTATGAATAAAATCAGACTTATATCAGTACTTAGTATATGAAAGCATAGCATAACAAACATTGTAATTAATTGATTATTAAACAGATATTATGCTAATTTTTTTATTTATAAAAAATCACAATTTCTTAAAAATCGTAATTAAAAAATAAGAAATTAGGTAATTTTTTTACCATATTTCTTAATAATATTTAACATTTTCTGAAATAATTTTTGAATTTTTTTAGAAATAAATAAAAAAATATACAATTTTGATTTGTCAAACAATTTTTTTCTTCATTTTATACAAATCTTTTAAACATCTTAGTTTTATTTTAAATTAAAAATTGTAATCGAATTTGTAACAAAAATTTCCTTTATTTCTAAAAATATTTGAGATATTGATAAAAATTAGGTATGATGAAGAAATATAAATTAAGCAAATTTGTTTATTTTATTACTAAAAACACTTGAGGATTTGTTAAAAAATTGTGATTGAGAAATATGAATGGTCGAAATTTTTTTATTTTTCCTTCTTTTTCAAAAAAGGAAAAAGAAATTATGAAATACCTAGAAATTATGCAAATTCTTTTTAATTAATTTTTTAAAAAAATTATAATTTCGTTAAAAATTGTCATTAAAAAACAGAATTTACACTAATTTTTTCCAAACAAGAACTAAAAATTTTTAAAATTCCTAATTTTTTCAATATTAAAAAATAAAAATTATACCAATTTTTTAACATTCTTTTTAAAAATATATAACTTTAGATTTTCTTAAAAAATCGTAATGAAGAATCAAAAACTGTTGAATTTTTTTTATTTAGGGTAATGTCACCTTGAGTGGACAACCTGAATTTTTACGTGATCTGACAGCGGAAACGTTAAATAAATAGTGCAAATAGCAGTTCCGCACCCGGAAGCATTTAGAAATTTCGAAAAAAGGCTTCGGCGGTCCAATCAAGGTGACATTACCCTATTACTAAAAAAATTGAAATTACACAAATTTTTTTCCAAAAGAAACTAAAAATTTCATAATAAAAAAATATGATTGACAATTCAAAATTATGAAAATTTTTTACTTTTATTTTACAAAACATTTTTAAATTCTCAACTTTATTTTCAATTTAAAATTTTAATTAACAAAGTGGAAAACTAATTTCGATCTGTTAAGCAAAGATTTTTAGAAAAATAAATAAAAGCATTACATACCTACTCAAAGACTAACTTTAAACTGCGAACAGAATGAATGAATGAATGAATGAATGAATAAAAGACAGAATTATCAGAGTATTATAGTATAAATATTTAAAAAAAATTTTTATAACCTCTTCTATTAAAAATCACCATGTCAAAGGATTTTGCAAAACATTATGCAAAACAATTAATAAATAATAAAATAGAAAAATAAAAAATTACACCATACATAAAACAACACGAATAATAAATAATTTATAAATATTGGTAACTAAAGAAACAAATAAACATTTACCAAATTACAATTTAAAAAAGCGTTACATTTTTAGCACAGTTTTTAATCTGGAAACGTCAAATTGTGATAAGAGAGTTTCGTTTTTTCTCATTTCTAAACTTTGCAAAAATTCTTACTCACTTACTTTTTTCTGTATTATTTTCAAAAAAGAAAATTTCAACAACTTTTTTTTTCGCAGAGAAACTAAAAATGTTAGTATATAATTTTTTACGAAGTTGTATTTGATAAACCTTTGCACTGGATGTTTCACCGCGGACGGCCAAACGCCGAATAACTTAAATGTCTGAAGGTTCATACCAAACGCGTCTTCTGGTCTGTAGATTTCCATTTCTGATGAAACGAAATTTCCTTCCTAACTACGAACAGTAGAAGGGTTGTTGCTGTTGATGATACCTTATTATTGCGAAATGGAGAATTTTGAAATTGATTGATACTTAAAGTTATGTATAGGAGGTGGAAACTATATTGTAGTTCCCGTTGGAAAATAATACGAACATGTATTAATGACATTCTCCCTTTCTCAATTGTTGTTTCCAGTAGGTCTTCTCTATACTTATAATTTATCACCCCCTAAAATCGATTTGAAAATGTTTTCAAATGTCTCTTTGGTTTCATATTGTATATCATCCGGTAACAACTGTTTTTCAAGCACAGTAATTGAGATATATATATATATATATTTCGTTTAGCGCAAAGGGGTCATTTTCAGGTCATAAATTCTTGGAATTGTTTTCTCCTACAAATTTCACTGGAATTTATGTCAATTTAATCAATAACGAAATTTAATCGAAATTTTATCTCTTTTTCTAATATGACAACTTTGGTCAAATTTCTCCAAAAGGAAAGAAAAAAAAGAATTTTAAAGAAATCAATTTTAATTATCAATCTACTTTTTTAATATTTTTCCAATTAAATTTTAACTAATTTTCACTAATTAAAAATTTAGAGAAATATTTTTTTCAGAAACGAAAATTCCAGAAGTACAATTTTATTATAACCAAAATAACAAAAAATTGTTTAAAAAAATTAGAAATAGATTTACCTCCTTTTGGAGTTGTGATATTATTTTGAAAGTAAGTTGGAAATGAGAGAAAAAGAGAGAGGGTTGAGAATCACATCAAATACTATTGGACGTATCTTATAGGCTTAAGAAAGAGATTATACTGTCAGCAGGGGATTTTACATTGTAACTATCACGGGTTGACAATCTTATTACATGTTGGACGCATGATTCTCTAATTCCCTATCTGCCGATTTTGACTTTTTTTGACAACCTCCTTCTCCCTCTCGAGGAAACCTAAAAAATACTGCAAAACTTGAAATTTAAAAATAAAATTCTTAAAAAAATTAAATTTCATTTTATTTGGAAAACTAACATAACTACACGTGCGCGTGAAATATTATCCTCCTTTTTTAGTTAAAAAAAACTTTCATTTTAAAATTTAATGAAAATTATTTATTTTTAAAAGTATAAATTTTCAAAAAGTTATTTTATAAATTCAAAAAAAAAATTAGGAATTGATTTCAATTACTCATATAGAAAACGTTGAGATACTTCTAGTTACAACTTGAATTTAAGTTATTTTTTACTAAATAATTGACAAAATTTTCAATTGTTTCAAGTTTTTAAAATTATTTTAGGAAATTCAATTATCTCCAAAAAATTTTAATTTAATTTTTACAAAAAACAAATTTTTCCAGAGTTTCTAAATTAAATTATTCAAAACTTCAATAATTGTTGTTAAACAAATAAATACTTAGAAATTTATTGTTATTTATTTTTACACAGGAATTAAAATTTTAAATAATTTCAATGACCTTTTGAAACCTTTTAAAATTTAAATGAAGTTGAAACTGGAACCCAGTTATCAGCATCGACTTGATTTTTAAAAATTAATTATAATCCAATATGACGAACGTGTTCTGTAAAAACTCATGGAATTCATTTAAAAATCGTTACTCGGATTCCGCCATTTTGAATTTTTTAAATCTGACTTCAGATTCGTAATCATCAACCCCAAAAACCCTCTAGTAACGAGTTTCAACTGAATTCCATGAGATTTACAAAAATCATCCGCCATATTGGATCCGCCATTTTGGATTTTTGAAATCCGACTTCAGATTTGTAATCAGCGACTCCAAAAACCCTCGTGTAACAAGTTTGAAGTCAATAGCATTACAATTTAAAAAAATATTGTTACCTTCTTTTTTTAAAAAACCCTTAGTATGACCAAAACACCCCCGATTCGCCTAAAATCGACAAAAAAATTATTCTTATTTGTAAAAATGTGCATTTCAATCATTTAAATCAAAAAGCCAAATGGCCCACATATGGGTAGTTCTACAAACGAAGGACGAAAATGAAGAACATTTTGGCACAATATTTTTCTTACGTTCAGGTTTTAAAAAGTAGGTTAAATTCATGTTAAAAGTATTATCAAAGTTACCTGAAAGTGGCCAGTCAAAAAAATAAAAATTGAAAATTTTACATCTTAAGCACATGTGTATTCTGTCAGAAAATGCCAGGAAACTGAGAACCAGGAAACTGAGAATTTGGTCATTTTTCGTCTAAAAAATTGAAAAATAACGCTTAATAACAAAATAAAGCATACTGGTCAACAGGGAATAAGGTTCTACGACACCTCGAGCAACAAAAATATAAAAACATAAAATATTTTTTTTAAAAATGCGTGCCAGGAAACTGAGAATTTGTCTGACCAAATGGTTATTTCGGTCACAAAGTACACAATTTTAGTTAATGATTGAACTGCAAGTTAAGTAAAATGCAAGTGATATCATATTTAGTTAACCTTTACTAAGCACTTTGAAAAATGGTGAATTAATCGGAATGAAAATTCTTAATATTTTTAACGTTTTTTATGATGCCATGAAACTGAGAATTAATTCGATAGACAAAATTCAAGATAATATTTTTTAAATAAAATATCAAGTAATGTAACAATTATTTTAATCTTTGTAAAGTAGAGTAATGTCACATTGAGTGGATCACCTGAGCTTTTAAGTTATCTGAAAGCGGAAACCTGAAATAAATAAAACGAATAGCAGCACCGCACCTAGAAATCGTAAGAAATTAATTTCCGCGATAATCATATACGTTATCGTTTGATGTAACGCATTTTTAAGAACACAAACCAAAAAAGAAGTCGCTCTTACAATGAGTAAAGTGATTGGGAAGTGTAAAATTTAAGTTTTAAAAGGTAACTTATATTTTTCCTACTACTTTGGACATTGAAATTGATTGTCTTAGTTTAATTAAGTGATAATTTTGACTCAAAAAAAAATTGTGGTGGCTGCCATACAAAGTTGCATGTCACTATGAGTGGACCACTGTTTATAACCATGAGTGGACTGCCTGTTTTTTATATTTTTAATGTCAGTTTACCATTTTTATGGAAATAAATTGACAATAAATTGGTTTGGAACTGTTTTATGTTCTTTATTAATTTTTTTGTGATTTTGATGTGATATGTGCCAAAATTATTAAAAATGGTTTCACTTGTAAACAATGCGACACATACATGGTCTGAAGCTGCATAAGCATCAATTTTGTTTCAATATATCAGTAATATTATATACATTAAAGAATTTAGAATAACTTTTACAATTTTTAGGAGTGGTCCACTCAAGGTTACACTTTTTTCATTCCTTAAAAATTAGCTATTTTTTTAAAGTCAATTGTTTTTTCCAAATGAAAAAAAATCAAAGCTATTATGGTATAAACACTTATCTAGGGATCTAAACTAATGCTTGGAATAGAAACCTCCGATTAATTTGCTTTCATAAAGAATTTTTTAGAAAAAAAGCTTAGGTGGTCCACTCAAGGTGACATTACCCTACAACTATTTTAAATTATTATCCAACTGAAAATTTGTATTTAATCGCTTAAAAATAATATTTATATAATTTATTAACTTTCATTTTCACATGCCAGGAATTTGAGAATTCAGCACTTGAATGCTTATTTTTTGCAAAAAATATTTTTTGAAACCGGGTAACGTTTTGTGGCATAATAGTAATAATTAAGCACTACAGTTCCCATTGAAAATAATTTTATTTTTTTCAAAATTAATGTAAAAAACAACCGTGGACATCATATATTTCCTCGTTTGTAGAACTACCCATATAGGCCTTAGGGGCCCTTCTCCTTTGGATAAATAATTTATATTTTGTATTTGGTTGACCTATTCCATGTACTTTTTTAACAGAATCTATTTATTTTTATATAATATAAAACCACGTATTAAAAAAGGTTTAAAAGATATTAAATTTAATTTTTTATTACATACAGTAATTAGTGTTATGAGAAAAAGTAATCAAAGTCGTCATTGAACAGTTGATGCGTTAGTTTCATCACTAAAAATCGTGTTTCAATGTGCATAAAGCTGTGGGATGAAGAGACAGTATGCATTGGTACAGGATTGCAAGAGAAGGTCAGCAAAATGCCGAAGTTCTTTTAGGTGTAAATGAGTGTCAAAGCGATAACGAAAAAATTAATTATTTAAATAAACTCTATGCAAAACTGGACATACGTGGTCCATTTAATTGAAAATGCGAAAGAAAAAATTACAGATAGTGACTTTTATTGTTGCCTCTTCCGAACGAGAAATCGAGCTCAGGTCGCCTATCAGAAGCAAATACTAACGCATTTACTTACGCATATATTACAGTTTTAATCTAATATAACCGAAGGCGTATTTGCATGGTGCCTTGGGGAAATTCCAGAGAGAAAAACTTGCATAAGTACAAGGTAAGAAGATGCGATGTTTTTATTTTTGACGGAAGAGTCGTGCTCGCCTATCTGCTAGGAAATACCAAAAACCCAAGTCAGCTTTTGTAAGTTTTTCGACGTATTCCATAACGGCACTTGTTGACTCATACGTTTTTCTGAGCACGCAAAGTATCATGTGTAAGCATTTACACATATAATCATAATTGATTATTGTGATTGTTGTTATGTCTCAGAAAGAAACTAAACATACCCTTAAATATATACACTGAAACCTTACTTATTTGAACATGGCTTACGCAATTCGTCCCGAAGTGTCGCGTTTATTTGTACTTTGGTAAGCATAACTTATGTTGGTGACGTAATTCAATAAATTGACATGATTGGCTAGTTTTGTTTGAACTCAACCAATGGGAAGTATCTTTTCATTGGTCGCGTACTGCGCATGAGCTAGGACAAGTGGGGTTAGAGCTGATCCGAACTCAAAGTAACTGATGCGAAATCGGGTTCAGATAAACGCGACTTTAAGTAAACGAGACTTTAAATAAGTAAGGTTTCAGTGTATATTTAAATTGTCCGGCGCGGTGATTCATTTCACAGAGTGTAATGGCGCATTCACACCTTTGGTTGCTGCCTGCCTGCAGGTTGTCATGGTAACCAAATAAGAGTAAGATAGTCAGACAATTCAAATTATGTTTTCTCTCCCTTACTCTAGTTGTTCCACCAAAGCTGTGAGTGCGTCGCAAGGCTCTGATCTCAAGA